CTCTTTTCGTACTGGGCTCTGGCTTCTGCAGGGTCAAAACCAGGTCATCTGCAAAAGCTTTTAGTTTATATTGTTTCTGACCGACCTGAATTCCTTCCACCAACCGATCCCCTCTAATCATGTTCAATAGCACTTCCAGAACCGAAATGAATAACAAAGGGGAGATAGGGCAACCTTGTCGTGTCCCTTTTTCAATTTTGAACTCTTCTGTGACCACATTATTAACTATCAGTTTAGCTTTCTGTTCTGAATATATCGCCTCAATCCCATTCTCAAAACCCCGTCCCACTCCCATCTCTTTTAAATTTCCCATCATAAATTTCCAGGAGATATTGTCAAAGGCCTTCTCCGCATCTATGAAAATTAAAACTGCTTTTGTATTTATATCTGTTTGCAGAAGTTCCAAAATGTCAATAATGTTCCTTGTATTGGCAAACAGATGTCTACCTGGGAGAAAACCGGCCTGGTCCTTATGAATTACTTCATTTAAGACTTTTTTAAATCTACTTGCCAAAATATCTGCAAATATTTTGTAATCCACATTTAAAAGGGAGATGGGGCGGTAGTTCTTAAGTTGTGTCTTTTCAGCTTCCGACTTTGGTATTAATGTGATAAACGCTTCCTTCCACGAATCCGGTGCCCTCTTCCCCTCCATAATTTCATTGCTGACCTCCATCAAAGGTTGTATCAAATAGTCTTTTAATGTCTTATAATACTTGGAGGTCAGCCCATCTGGCCCTGGAGATTTGCCAAGTTGCATGTTCTGAATGGCTTGTTCAATCTCCTGTCGTGTTATTTTAGAATTCAGAATTGTCCTATTTTCTTGTGACAATTTAGATAGTCCATTTTTGCCAAAAATTGTTTAATCTCCACTTCGTCTTGCGGCCCTTGGGTGTATAATTTTTGAAATATCTCTGGAAACACTTTCTAATATCCACTGGATTCTGAATGTTTTTCCATCAACCTCTAAGTTTGTAACCGTGTTTAATCTTTGTCTTCTCTTCAACTGCCAAGCTAGCAGTTTTCCACATTTATTCGCCGACTCAAACGTTTTTTGTTTCATTAATTTAACCTTCCATTCAATTTCCTGATTTATCAATTTAGAATATTGTGTTTGATAAAGCTTAATTTCTCTCAGAGTTGGCTGTGACTTTGGATTCACTCTTAATTTCTTCTCTAATTCTTTTATTTTGTCCAAGATCTTATCTTTTTTCTCATTTTGTGTTCTTTTCTTTACTACATTCTGTTGTATCAAGAATCCCCTCATTACAGCTTTGCTTGCGTCCCAGACGATTCTTTTTTCCACCGAATTGTTCATGTTTATCTCAAAATAGTCCTTCAAAACTTTTTGGGCCTTCTTGGTAATTTCCTGATCTCTAAACAAATTGTCATTCATCTTCCATCTAAAGGATCCAGTTGGTAGTAGTGTCATATCCATCTTTACTGCATTATGGTCAGAGCAGGTCTTTGGGCAGATTTCCACTTTTCTGACCTTAGGTGCCAGGCCTCTAGAAATCCATATTTGGTCGATTCTTGTCCAGGTCAGTTGGGCTTCAGAAAAGAATGTTCCTTCTCTACCTAGTGGGTTCTTTGTCCTCCAAATGTCAATCAAATCCATATTGTCAGTCATTTCAAAAAGGTTTTAGGTAGTCTGCCGTCTTTTGTAACATTTTGACTTTGTGACTTGTCCATGTTAGTTGACACGACCCCGTTCATATCTCCCATCATTATGATGTTGTTGTAATCCAGATAGTCCAGCATTGTCCCCTGCAGCTTCTTGTAAAATTCCGATTTCCCTTCATTAGGTGCATAGATTCCTAATATCAACAGTTTCTCTCCTTGATATTGTATCTCAATGGCCAAAATTCTTCCATGTTCATCTTTAAATAAGAATTTAGGTGACAGGCTCTCTTTTGCATATATCACCACGCCTCTCTTCTTAACTTTGTCCGACGAAACAAATTCCTGGCCCAATCTTTTATTTATTAACACTTTTCTGTGGAGCCTCGTCACATGTGTTTCTTGTAAACAGATAATGTCCAATTGTTCTTTTTTAATATATGAAATATTTTCTTCCTTTTTCCGGAATGTTACAACCATTAATGTTCCAACTCAGCAATTGCAGAGACATCCTGGATCTATCTGGTTATTTCTCCAGGGGTGGTATCTTCTCTGGATCTTCAGGTTCCCCAGGTGCTGGTGTTAATGCTGGCTTTGCCCCAGGCCCAGAAGGTAATTCAATTCCTTTTTGAAGGTCCTCTCCGTATGTAGCCAAAAATTTGTCTCTCTCTTCCAATGTTCTAACTTTGACCTTTCTCCCTTTAAAGGTAAAAGATATTCCTTGGGGAAATTCCCACCTGAATGGAATTGCGTTGCTCCTTAGTAGTTTAGCAAGTTCAGAATAGGCGGCTCTAAGATCCAGCAGTTGTCTTGGAATATCTTTATAAATTTCAATTCTTCTGTCCAAAACCTCCAGTGACTTTCCGTAATGTAGGCCCAAAATCTTATCCCTTTCCTCCTTTGATCTCAATGTAATCAAACAGTCTCTGGGCCTCTCCTTCTTTGTGAATCTTCCAAGTCTGAAAGCCGACACAATTTTAAAATCCTTTTCTTCCAAATTCCAGAACTTGGAAAATTCTTTAGTCAAAAACTCAGTTAAATTTCCTTCTTCTGCCTCTTGTAATGATCTAATCCTCAAATTATTCTCACGATTTCGCAGTTCTATCATGGAAAGATAAGTCTGATGTTCCCCAACTTGTTTAGTGAGTGGTCTTACCTCTTGCTCTAAATTTTCCAATTTTTGTCTAGTATCCTCAGCCAATTTCCGATTTTCTGCTGAGGCCTCCGTTAACTGTCCAATTGCTTGTGTATTCTGTACCACTTGTATGGTTAATTTATTTAGACATTCTGTATTTTTGTCAATCTTTGCTGATTGCGCATCTACTTTCTTGTCCAAAGCTTCCAATTTTTCAAAGATTTTGTCTAGAACAGAAACAGATGCTCCTGAGGCCATATCTTCCAATTGTAACTGCTCTGCTTCACCCTCTCCCTCTTTTGCCTGTGGCAAGGCAACTTCTTCAAGTTCTACTTCTGAGGGCAAAGTAGGTACAGATGATCTACGTGTCTGCGAGGCTGAGGTTAGAGTTGTTAAAGTTGTTTGTCTAACTCTCCCTCTTTTCCTTGTGCCACTCATTCCAACGTTGTCTATCAGTCAAGGTCACACTGAGTTTTTCCCATGGGAATAGAAAGGCCCAGAGCAAGCAAACAACAAGGGAATCGAAAGTAAATGTAGATGTAAAGTCACTGTTTTAATCCAATCCTCTAGAGGGAGCTTAAAATGTCTTTCAGAGTCTAATTTAATGTCCAAGAACCTTCAGATATAAATATTTAGCAGAGTTTATAAGTAGTCACTTTGTTACAGACAGTGCTTATTTATCTCCAAAAAGAATGTTTCAAATTTAAAAAGTCTCAATACCCTCAGATTGTTGCAAGTTCCAATATACAGTATCCAAATCTGCAATACTGACAGCTCAATCTCTCAATGCTCAGGCAGCTCCTGACTCTGGGTTTCACCTTCTAATTTGTAATCCAATAAAAGGAGGAAAGTCAAGTGCAAGTTAAAATTCCGAATCTTTAGCTTAAAGTCTTTACTTTAAATTGCAAGTTCAATAGATGCTTAGATCTGTAAAGTTTAAAATCTCTTTCTTTCAGCCTCCACTCCTCCAACTTAGTTGCTTTTCAAGTTCAATGGCTGCGGAAGACGGACTTCCTGTTTCCACGTCTCTCCGCTTTCAGCCAAGTTCAAGCCAATTTAAGGTTTTTCATTTAAAGTCTCTAATTTCAAGTGATTCAGTCTTTACTCACGAGTAAGTTGCTTTTCGTCCGAATCCGTATTTTAACAGGAAAAAGGATCAGCGCTCACCGGCAGCAGCAGCGCGGCTTCACTCCGCAGACTGTGAAGCAGCTCTCAGCGCCGCAACCCCCCTCCACGCTCCGGAGCCCCTTACGAGGTTCCTTTCACGTTTGGAGGGTCACTTAAGGCGCCCACCGAGCCTCAAGACCCCAAGCTCTTGCTGCCTGGGGTTTTCCGGAGTGGGTCTCCGCTTCGCCGTAGCGGACGACCCGTTGTCTGCGGAGCCTCCTCTCCCGTTCAGAAGAGGACCGCCATTGCCGTTCGCGCCGCCCCTCGGAAGCCAGAAACTGGGATTCTTAAAAGAGGGAAGCCGAAGGAAAAGTAGCTGCTTATAAGATATTTGGGTCACTGGCTGAATTATCACCATAAAAGGTAAACTAAGGTCTATGCCTTCCACCTCAATGAAAGGGAATGATTTGTCTTCTGAATGGCTCAATCTCCTCATCCATCTTTAAACTCATTCTGTCTAAAATCTTAAATGTAAATGTTACTTTCAATTCTGATACTTTTGGCCACTTTAATAAGATAAACTTTCTTTTCAGTACATATTAACACTGCCTTTATGCAAATAGATGATATCAAAAGCATGTAAACAGCTACATTTACAGATGCATTACAGGAAATGGTATTTGAAATAATTTCATATTAATGGACAGATAAGCATTTTTGAGCTACCAACAAGTTACACTGGTTGTGCAGGGCAAGGTTGACTGTATCATTCATAAAATTGTTTTCAAAATATTGTATAACCCACTCTTCAAGTGAAAGCTAGTTTTAAGGTATCAGGTATACAAATCTGATAATGCAATTAAGAACAGCACAAAACAGATTCTGGCAAAGCAAGTTTCCGTGCTATTCATTCTCTTCCTACCCAACAGGGGAATGAAATGTGTTTCCTGGACTTTATACCCTGCTCTGTTCGCCAGCAAAGGAAGGTGGTACAGAATGATCTCTTCCTGTGGGCACTGGGGTGCTTCATTGGTCAACCAGCTGATTAATTAACAGCACTGATGGACTTCCAGAGACGAGTTAATTTTCAGCCAGAAAAGTATTGGCTATATTCAATGAGCCTGTTTCTATTTCAAATTCACTGCATGGTTATGCTTGCATGTAGGGAGTAAATATAAAGAAGAAGAATTTTTACTCCCTACATGCAAGCATAACCATGCAGTAAATTCAATCCCACTTACAGGATAATGTAGCAATTGTACGAATAAGAAGTTTTGTATGTGTTTATTGCTGTCTTGCTTGCTTTTGTAATGTCTATAAAGCACACTAAAACCGTTAATGAAAAGAGTACATAAATGTGTTAAATGAAATAAACAATGCCACATATAAAAACTAAGCTAGTGATTAGATTTGCAGTTTAGAAGGGCTGCCAGCTTTGAAAAAAAGTTTGGGAAAAGAAATTAGGGATTCATGGCATGGCACACAGGAAAGAGAATGTTCTTGGGAAAAGGAGCCAGCTGGCCCATTTTAAGTTATCTCCATTGTTGTTTAAGACATCAAAAGAGAATGCTTACTGTGGAACTCAAACTCATTCCTGTTTGCCTGCCTGAAGAAAAGTAGAGGCAGCACTCCAAACTAGGATGAAAATCAAGAGTAAACAAAACAGTTTATTTAAACATCTTAAACATGAGCAATTTTTATAGGGAAGTAGGATACAATTGCATTTTCCTACACCTTTATTTATTGCATAAGAAATGTAACTATTTGTTATTTTATGCATTACATTTGTATCCCATTCTTGCTCCAAGGATTTCAGACTGGCATGCGTGGTCTTCCCCATCCAATTTATCCTTATAGTAATCCTGAATGGCAGTTTAAGGTGAGAAATAAGATAGCAGCTTCAAATGAGCTTCATGTCTGAGCACATGTCACTCAGCCACTGCAAACATTTTCCCCCAGTTAACGTGTTAATTATTTTGGGACCCAAATATTTATCGCCCCACACCACACCTTAAGAAATCTCATTTGTTCAGCTCTCAGACCACATTGTGGAAAAATACAGCCCTCATTTCCTCACTAGTACTTCCACTGCAATTCCAAATACTGGACTGACTGCTGTTTGACAACATCTCTACCAGTACCTTGTGCCCGTGTCCAGCAATATATTGTTCTCTTTCATGTTCCTAGCATTTTGACATGTACAGTGGTACCTCGGTTTAAGAACAGTCCTGTTTACGAACGATTTGGTTTACGAACTCTGCAAAACTGGAAGTAGTTTGAGAACTTTGCCTTGGTCTAAGAATGGAATCCGAATGGTAGAAGGGCACTGGCGGTGGAAGGCCTCATTAGGGAAAGCACAGCTCAGTTGAAGAACGGACTTCCAGAACGGCTTAAGTTCATAAACCAAGGTACTACTGTATTATGAACACATATTTAGTTTTTGAAATGTGCAAGAAAACCACCAACCCCCATACCCAAACTGCCAAATAACAGTGAGACTACCTCATTCATTGTTTCAAGTTCTAGGCATGCCCTGGTTCAGGGAGGAACAAGATATGGCAAATAATTTTCTCCTCTAAGAAAAGATAGATAAAATTTCATTCTGTGTGGTGTACAGCAAAAACAAATATAAAATAAGGAATTATTGTGAGAATAACCACATTATAAAAAGAAGCAAAATATTTAAAACCTATAAAATCTATGACCTCAATCCTAGACAGTTAAATGGCAGAAGCTTCCAAACAGTGAAAAAAATTATACTATATATGGCATGGAACTCACAAAATAAACATTATTAATTAAGTGCAAGACTGCCTTAGCAGAATGTGGCTACTTGATTTGATGGATGCTTATCTTAAACACAGTTATGATTACTAGCCCATGAGGGAAAGGATACTTGAAAACAAGTCTTACAAAACAAGGATACTTGAAAATAAGTGCTTTGTGCCTTCAGCTGGCTCATAAGAACAGCTGGTCAAAAAAATATCCCATACATATAACTTTGCTGCAATATTTTGAGGCACTTTTTCTATTCTAAGCTCATGCATTTAAAAACATGCTTGTTAAAATCTGTCACATTTTACAGTGCCAATGATCTCCGTATAGTATTTCCTTTTCAGCTCTCCATAAGTTACAAAGCTATCTTAGAACAAAGATATGAAAAAATTTGAAAAGAAATGAGTTTGTCTGTTATAACAGCATTTATAAATTTGTGGTTTTTCAAGGTTATAGCAAAACAGTAGTTTCATAAATATCACAGTGGGGAACTGGCCAATCAGAAAGGCACCAAGCATTGACAACTTTCCATTCTCAGGTATATGCAGAAAAAAGGGTCATAGGGTGATTGTTATGGATATTGTATGCAAGTTCCCATTTACAGCAAGTAACTGCAATAAAACACAACAGCGGTGTCATCAGCTGAACTTCCTATACCTAGTATACTCCAGATGTTTTCAACTGCAACTCCCAACAGTCCCAGCTAGAATGGTTAATGGTCAGAGATGATGGGAATTATGATCCAAAATATACAGAGGTCACCAGCTTGGACTAGATACCCCCTGAGCCCCAGCCTAAGACTGTAACATTTGACTCATCATACTCCATTTCTTGAAAACCCAGTTTTAAATCCCTTCATAAAACAACTGTAATTTACTAAATCCTTCACCAACAAAGAAAGATGATTCAGCTGAAACTTTATGCTTTGTGTAGTCAGAACTTCATCCTTCATGTGTTTATTGTTCGAGATATTTATCGGGCAGTACAGATGCTATCTTATAGTAAAATGCAAGTTCATACTATTTTTAAACATAGCAATGAACTATAAACATGGTCCTAAAACAATTTCCAAAAGTCAGGAATTGCCCCACATTGTTTTATACAAAGAGTAAGGAAAGAGAAGAAGCCCACTTCTTCTATAAAACTCACTTTACACAACAACAACAACCCTACATTGTTCAAGGGTGAAACAATTATGAAACCTGTTCCTACATCCCACTGTTTCACCACTCAAGCCTGCACACTCTTAAGGTAACTCTCAGTAGAAAGAAAAAGCTGAGGAAAAGATGCACAAAACTCTGTGTTAGATTGGATTTGGACCTTAGAGATTCAACTCCCATGTCCTATCATCATCAGTGCACAGTCTACACCAGAGTATTATCCAAACAGAAACATCTCTGATACAACACAGAAAGGGTAACTATAAGCTAAACCTTTAGTGATATATTTTGTTCTAATCATTTGACAGTAGCTGCTTCAAATACAGCAGTGTTATTGATGTAAAACAGCCTTCTCCTACTCAATGACCTCCCAAGCTGCACTGGCTAGCATGGTCTGGGATGAAGGGAGCTGAAGTCCCACAAAGGCACCATGCTGGGAAAAGCTTTTGTAAAAAGTGAAACATGAAGAACAAATAATGAACCAATAGTGAAACATGTAGCCCCTTATTGTAAGTCTACCAAGTAACTATAATTCAATAACCTTGCCAGGTCTGGCAGATATTGTTCAAGTTCATGCACTTTGAGATCAACATAGTGGATGTGTGTCTTTTCTTCTTCTGCAAGACTAGCAATAGCAGGTGTAAGCTGACTACCTACTTCATGGAAAGTACAGCTGAAATGTGTTCATAACCGAAATGTAAATATGTGAATGCATTCTAGCAGGCACGGAATTTATCACCATAGAGATAATGCATGACTTCCCTACTGAAATAGAGTTATTGGTTATCTCCATGTCCAAAGATGAAAGTTCTCATTTCTGATTATGTTCTTCTCTTGGGCAACATGCTAAAGGCAGCAACTCGCTAAATCAATAGTGACCTAAACAGCTGGTATCAATGAACATTATGATATCTGATGTATCTTCTATCTGATGACATGAACTGATTGAACATGGAACTGCAGTGATTTAAATAAAACAGTGATGTTTAAGTTAATGATATTATGTAATATGTTCTGGTTCTGGTTTTCTTTGGGGGCAGCAACTCAGTAAAATCTGTCTTAATAAATCCTATTGTAATTTAGTGTAAGTGGAGCACATTTGCTTAAAAGATAACTATTTTGTCAACAAAAGTGTGTGTTTGATATTCTCAGAGCAGAAAAGAGAACACCCTCTGGTTTTCTCTGGCAAAATTCCCAGAATCTGTACACTAAAATGGAAAACCCCAATACCACTAATAGTTAAGTAAAGCAACTTACCATCATAGAAGAAAAGGCCATATAAGTGTGAAATTAACATTTTTTTGCTGAGGAATCCATCCAAATTGCAGAATTTTGCCAAAAAGTCAGGGAAGCATAGCTGTTGCAAGAGACCATCCAAAGTTCAAAAACAATGTTCAGAACGGAACAGATTTGTCAAGGTCATAGAATAGGTTGCTTTCTTTGAATCATTGTCTCCACTGCTGCTAGACCTACAAAAAAAGAAACAGAAATTTGGACTATTATTTTCAGTTTCACAGCAATGCAATAAATGTCAATGTTGGACTATTGCTACTGTCCTTAGTAGTAACTGAGATTATTAGGGGAAATAGGTAAAGCAACTCCTTATCTAGCTTTGATTCTACTCAAAGTTCCCCTGGCCCACTGGATCCCATATTTGGAAGTAATTTTCTGGTACAGCTTTTAATATTCAACTAAGACATATTTTCTTTGGGGGTAGTATGTTTGTAATTTGATCCATCAGAATGGCAATTATGTGAAATCTGCATATAGGTACCTGCATGCATAGTGAGAAGTCTTCTCAGCAGACTGGGACAACATTCTCCAGAGCTTACTACATTGTAGTAACATCCAGCAAACGCACCCCACACCTCATATTCCCTTCTCTCCAGATGTGTTCACTAAACATACCGTATATAAAACCAAACATATTCTCTTCAACATCAGAGTGTTCTAGCAAACCAAATATCGTTTTCTAAATGAATTAAATAATTTCAGACTTTGAAAATCTGAGTACAGTGATACCTCGGGTTAAGTACTTAATTCGTTCTGGAGGTCCGTTCTTAACCTGAAACTGTTCTTAACCTGAAGCACCACTTTAACTAATGGGGCCTCCTGCTGCCGCCGCGCCGCAGGAGCACGATTTCTGTTTTCATCCTGAAGCAAAGTTCTTAACCCGAGGTACTATTTCTGGGTTAGCGGAATCTGTAACCTGAAGCGTATGTAACCTGAAGCGTATGTAACCCGAGGTACCACTGTAATGCCATCAGATTTCAATGGGCAGCACTGAATG